TGACAATGTCAACAATCCGCCAACAGGGGCAAATGATGCTGCACGCAACGGCCAAAACGCACCAGTCCAACCGCCAGAAGCAAAATCTGTTTGGTTGTTCCAGCAAGATTTCGGAAGTGCAGATGAATTCAGCACATTTTTGGAGACTGAAGGTTGCTGGTCTAAATTGAAAACTGAACATTTAAACAAAGGCGTCAAAACAACGTACCGATGCAACGATGTGAAGCGTCGTGGTGAACAATGCAATGCGGGTGTCTACACGTTGCATGGTGGCATTCCGAATGACCCATCGATCAAACTATTCCGAAAGAGTTTGGATCATTCATGCGGCACATCGACCAATCGCAACAAAAGCGTTCCGGACGACATTCAACAGTTTATTATTGATCAATACAACGTTGGCAACAAATTGCAAGCAATAATAATGCTTCTGCGCAATCGGCCAGATTTGCAAACAATCCCAGACGAAAAGCAAGTGAAAAATGTGATCCAATATTATCGGAAAAAGACGAGCGTCGACCCAGATGTTTCGATTGCCAACTTGAAAGATTTCGTGAACGCTCACTCAGCTGTGCCACAATCTTTGGACGACGCTTTCATTGTGAGTGCAGAGTTTTCCCCTCCGCTTACACCCGATGACCAAAAGTTTTTCCGCATCTTCTACTCAACCAAGCGCCTGCTCACGCATGCAACATTGTGCAATACCTTACATTGTGACGGCACATACAAACAGTTGATTCACGGTTTTCCAATCCTTGTCATTGGCATAACGGATATGGCGATAAAATTTCACTTGACCGGCATCGGAGTGTGTTCCGGAGAGAGCACCAACGATTACAAGTTCCTGTTCGATTCGTTGAAACTCGGTGTCAGTAAGGCGACAGACAAGGAACTTCGTCCAAAGGCTGTAATGGGTGATGGTGCTGCTGCCATTTCACGAGCGGTGCAGCTATCGTTCGAGGAAAACGTCGTGCGCATGATGTGCTTCTATCATGTTATGGCTAATGTTGAAAAAAGATCATTCAACAAGGGTGAAAATAAGGCCGACATCAAAGATGACATCCGCACACTACGTCACAGCTATGACCAGGCAACGTTCGATGCTGGCGCAAAGTTATTTCTGAAGAAATGGCAAAAGAAGGAAAAGGATTTTTTGGCCTACTTTCAAGAACAATACCTCAAAAATTTGCCAAATTGGTACTTCGGAGCATCGAAAGAAGCGTCAAATGCGGGCGTTCCAGGCACAAACAACGCTACGGAAAACTTCAACAAGTCTATGAAGCAGACGCAAACGAACTACGAACGGTAAACTCTGTCGGCCTACCTGGGTGATGCCATCGGCTACGTACGGGATCGTTCGAAATATTACATTACCAACCCGCCACCTAAAACCGAAGCAGTTCTCACCGATGAACTCCGAATGAAAGGTCATCGGTACGCCAAACCACTTTACAAAAGATGATACGGAATTCTTCGTCTTTTCCGGTGAACGACCTGGCAAAGTGACATCCGCCGATGTTCTGAAATTCAGTGAACAAAAATGGAAAAATTTCAAAGAATTCGCTCAAAACGCATTCCAAATGCACCGCATCCAAATCAACCGCTCGGAATGGAAACAATCAGTTTGTACCTGTCCCGCTTTTGGCCATGACTACATTTGCAAACACATTGTTCACCTGGCGTACAAACTTGCTCTTCTGGAACCACCGATGGATTTGCTGGAAAAAACCACAAGTGTTTCTCCAAAGAAGAATCCACGAGGTCGGCCACGCAAAGCTACTCCAGCTTTAATTCGTGATTAGGGTCATTTCGTTTTTCTTTATTCATTTCATATCAAGCTCAATTTTCAGTTGTTTTTTTTTAGATTTTACGTTCGCTTTTCGATTTTGAATATTACAAATAGCAGACCTATGTATTTTTCTTGAATAAACAGGATTACTTTGAATATTTTGAAGAAAAAAATCAATTCTCCGATCTTTATTTGTGAAATGCAAATGTGAATTCCAGTCGGATTGATAGTTGCACATTTCAGAGCCGTAGCAAATAAGGGGCTAGGGGGGGCATTGCCCCACCACGCGTTTGAATTGCCTCCACGCATTTTTCTCATTAATTAAATCGATGCTAGAGAAAAAAGATGAAGAAGAAAAGGAAAAAAATTAAAGGACAATCGAAAACAAAAGCAATAAACAAAACTATTTGTATGGTTTATACCGCGATCACAGTTTATTTATATATTTTTTTAAATGCGTTTGACAAGAAAGCTTCGTATCACATTCAATCAATTTCTTAAAATAATTGTACTTTGCGATTTTTTAGTGCATTGAATCTTAAAAGAACTTTGTCTAGGTCTAAAAAATCAAGCTCGAATGCCAGAAACGATAAATTATTTAATCTATCAGTCAACATGCTAATACGTTGAGGACGCATGATTCGTGTCAAGGCCGAAAATGATGACTCGCATACTGCCGTTCCAGATGGGAAAGTTTCGATTGCTGCAAAAAGGTTGTACATGTTTTCCATTCCTTTGCGCACCTTATATAGCTCTGCCAGTACTTCGGTCTTGATTTTTTTATCTTCCTGTCTTTTCAAATCGTTGAATTTCTCATTCTTTGCACGAATTCCGTCCATGTACTCTTTGGCAATTTTTAGCTCAATTTCATTTGGCAATTCAATCCCCAACTCGATCAAAGGCTGCAGCTTTTCCAAATCCATCTCATCTGCTGTATCGATAGCTGTGAGAATGGCATCGTTTTTTTCGAAACGATCTGTCATTTCTTTTAACACAATGTCGGTCGTCTTTTAACACAATGTCCCAGTGTTTCTTCGACAACAGAATCCTTTAGCATTGTTGATTGGCGTCGATTTCGAATTGGGCGACTTGCAGCGAGAGCCGATTCTGTAAGCCCCAATTTCCGCAAAAGATTTGTTGCTTGAGAGTTGTATTTTCCGAAATTATCTTCTGTTCTCATTTTTTCAATCGTTGTGTAAACGACTCTAATGAGTACCATCGAATCTTTGTATCCTATCTCTCGGCCTTGCAATTGTTTTGTTACTGGTTCAATCGTTTGTAATAAATCCTTCATGAAAATCAATACGAATACAAATTCTAATGGGGCCATTACGTTATACAATCCGGCTGCTAATGCAACGTCATCACCATCGAATCCTGCTGCACCGGTTATCTGAGGCAAAGTATTCATAATATGTACATAACTTTCATATATGGATTTTGAAGCACGTAAATGGCCAACCCAGCGAGTTTCAATTAATTTCAAAATGGAATGGCCTTCGTAATGTTGTTTTACTTTGTGGCGACGGAAAAATTTTGCAATGAGTTTTGCCTGAAAATGTTTAAATATGCGTTAGGCACAGTACACATTCATAATCGAAGATAATTGACAGCTAAATATCAAACCTGGTCAAAAAACTGTTTCACTAGTTGAACACTTTCAATGGCCTTAATTATAACCAAATGAAATTGATGGTTCAGACAGTGAAAATACGGTATTTTTCGTTTCAATTCGTCTTGAATCAATCTTTGCACACCACCATTTTCCCCGTTCATCACAGCTGCACCGTCATAGCATTGACTGAAAACATACACGAAGAGATTAAATACATTAACACATACACGCACAAATAATTTAATTAATAACAAGGAAGTACTTACCACAACATTCGTTCATTACGTATTTCATTATCTTCAAGTATTTTCAATGTCTGTTTAGTGAAATACAGAGCATTCAATTCAGCGAATGTTTCCATCGTAATGATGCTTTATTGAACTTGGCCTTTTCGCACATATCTTGCAGCAATCGAAACACATCCATTGTTCTGTTTATCCTTTGTCCCATCCTCTAGCAATGTGAAATATGGTACGTCTGATTCCATCACGTCTTTAGCCACTGCCTCGCGTACCATCAAAGCCAAAAGCGCAATTATCTCATTTTGAATATCCGGTGATCGATATGTGTAATGTCATGGCATATCCGATTCCCATTTGCGAAGATTTTCGTTGTTGGCTTTTGTGTGTGAGAATAATTTTTCGAACAAACCTTCATCCATATGTTTGTCGATATTATACGAGCCACGAAAATCCATCTCGCCTTTAATCGTTTGATAAACAACATGCACTGTCACTGTCAGAACTACTACTTCATTTTTATATGTAGATGCTATTGTATTCCATGTTAATTAGCATCGGGCAATAAATCACCAAAACTTGCATATGAAACAAATGTAATCAATGTAGTTGTGTCGAGTTTTGAACTAGAATAACACTTATTTTATACGCATGTAATGATGGCTTTGAATTTTTAAAAATAGACGTTAAATTTGTTTAAATATCTTTGCCCCCCACGCAAAACAGTGTTGCTACGGCTCTGGCACATTTGGAATGAAGGGAGTGATCAAATTCGAAGCTGTCACATTTGTAGACTACGAATCGTTGCAAGTCACACCTACACATAAACACCATAGCACACAACTGACGTGGTATTCGATCAATGAAGTGAGTAACCAAAATATGTGCTTGAAATTTTAAACTCAACCTTTTCAAAAGAAATAAAAAGAATTTTCTCCACTTCAGCCAAATATTCTTTTGAAAGTGACTTATTTTCACATAGATTCAATAAAACTTCCATTTCGTTCAACAATTATTCAGCAACTTTCGTAGAGTATTATGAGTGTTGTGCTATTTTTCAGTCTGAATTCTATTTTAATTAAGATATTTCCAATGTAAATTTATACTTGATTTATCAACATTTCGCAAACTCTTCAAATTCACTTGGAATTCAGATTTTTTTCAGTATAATTTTGTTCATTAGCAAAGAAAAACTGAACTGTCAGATTTCACATTCTATTCATTTTTTGTTTCAACTTTTGCAAATAGACTTGCATTGGTTATGGATATGAATCCAAACAAAAGATACTTCGAATGGTCGTGTAACTAACGACTAAGCTAGGCAACATTGCAGACAAAATAGAGCAAGGGTAAAATATCAAGGAAGAATGATCGGATGACAGTGAATTTGATTTGTTGACACATTCGATTGGAAGAAACGTGAAGATGCAGCGACAGCGAACATCGAATTGGCAGGTGGTAATTATTATTTTTGGTTTTGATGTGAATGTTGTGGAAGAAGAAATAAAATGCGAGTATAGAGAATAGAAATCAGAAACAAATACATTATTGCTAGTGGAATTATAATCACCACGAATATGATTTCAAGAAGTAGATTTGGTTTTTCGTTCGACTTTTCTTAACCCCACTTTATGCTATCGGAACTGAGCAGACTCAATACAAAGAGAAACATGAAATACAGTGAAACATGTCCATAACAAAATCCTATGGAGAAATTTTTTCCCACTATTGATAAGAATTCTAGGTTTATTCACAGGTTTTACTGTATATGCAAAATAATTATTCTGTTTATGTGAACTTCAATATATATTTATTTTTTTTTATTTTTATTTTATTAAACACCGCCAAGCTCTGGCTGAATATAATGTGGG